TAAAAAAGCTAAAACGTAGGACTTGGCAGTCAAAGAAGCTGCACAACAGACTTCGTCAGACCTCTTGTTGTGCCTTCAGGCTTGAAAGGCGTTTTAAGAGGCCAGATCCTTGGCTGAATTAATGTTGCATTTGGTGAGGTGACCCACCGACTTACTGGAACTTTTCCCCCTCCCTTCACGTTTAATTACCAATTATCAAATGGGAAATTCCTTGGAAGGTCGGTTCAGCCATTTGCGACGTGCGATTATGCTAATCGTGACCCTGAAACGGTCATTTGGTCGCAGACAGGCGTAAGCATGCACCCATACGAACAGCTCTTTTGCCATTTTCCCCTCCGTCTGAGTTCAGCTCTACCCTTCTCAGAGTCAGATAAGGACACATCTGCTGAGTATTATCCCTCAGACTGCCGTGGGGCCCCTTTATACATCAAGCCCTCACATACTGCACACGCACATACATGAACACATGCACACACACCCCCTCGTGGTTTCTTCCACACTTCTACTCTGTTTTCTCTGTTCCCTTTCTGCTTCCAATGCATCACTCTGCCTCAGTTCGCTATGTTCTCTTTTTAATCAAAATCAAACCCTTTTTTCGCTTCTCTTTATTTCTTCATCATTCATGTCTTCTTCCTCCAGACCCAGAGGCACAGGATAGTCCTGGCCCACCTAAACATGAGTTTGACTCATCCAATGGGAACCTCCTCTTTCTCTGGTACTCAGTACTAGAATCTGAGGCCTTGTCCACACTAAAACGTTTTTCTCTCCGTTTTGGCCTTCCGTCCACACTGATACAGCGTTTTTATAAACGAAAACAAAGCTTTTTGAAAGTGGATAAATCTGAAAACGCCATTTGCGCATTGTAGTGTGGACTGTCAAAACAGAGGCATTTAAAAATATATGTGACGCATATTGTACCAACAGATATTGATGTTTACACTGCTATTGTGCCTGTTACTGTATGTGATATTCACTTTCACACTGTTGCTAAAATATGTCACTTTGCACACTCTTCTTAACATAGTCATGCAAAGATGACAGAAAATGTACTCACATTTGCTGTCCTGAGGCATAACATGCGTCAGGACAGCAAATCATAACATAACATCAGTGAATGATGAGATATTTTGCTAATACAATTATCCTGCCAGAAGAATTGAGTCATATCTTTATTATTTATTTTTTCCTCTGTATCGTCTCGTTAACGTATGCGCAGTAAGATGAATTGAGCGTTTTCCGACCGTCGTTTCAGGCCGTGCGTCCACCAAAGCGTTTCCCCACGCGCCTGGTGTAAGTTTTCAATTGTTTTCAATGGGAGCGCCGCGTTTTTTAAACGCCATGAGCGTACTACGTTTTCATGCTGAAGCGACGAGCGCAAAGCGTTTTTTACTGGTTGCCGAGAATTGAAAAATGTTCAACTTTGAATAAAACGCTGTGCTCATCACTGTCAATTTTTACCCAGCCATCCAATCACAATGGAGGAGGGGCGGGACAAATACCACACCGACCAACTGTCACAACATTCTTTCTGTACAACATCAACTGGCAGAGCTAACCGAACAAATGTATGAAATTAATTTTTTTAGTATGAAACAAATTATCTGCGAAATCAGTTACTAGTGAAGTAACTGTGCTGCGGATATTCTGTATCATAGCAACGTAACGTCTCAACGGAAAAACGCTGCGCTACCAAAACGCTCTCAAGCGTCCAAAGCAAGGTGTCTTCAGCTGGCTAAAAACGCTTTAGTGGACACACGGCCTCAGAGTGGATGAAACTTTTGGAAAACGCCTGAAAGCACTAGTGAGGACGGAGATCGTTTTTTAAACGAAAACGCCATGATTCTAATGTATCAGGATTAACGTAGACGTAGCCAGAGTCCTGCTGTTTCTGGGTTCCTTAAGGCCTTGTCCACACGGACACGGGTATTTTTATAACCGTTAATTTTTTTTACGCGGTTCAGCTGTTCGTCAACACGGAGACGCAATATCAGGACACACTGAAATCGAAAATAGTTGAAAACCCCTGCCAGGGTGAGGATTTTTAGTACGCCGGTTACAGTGTTGTCGTGTAGACAGTAAAACCGGGGGGTTTGCCTTGGGACGTCAGAGTGTGCGCACACGCTGCGCCGTTATCCGCCTACCGGAACCCGTAATAACTTTTTGTCAGGCTTCTGATTGGCCAACGTGGCTTTGCGGTTAGGGTTATATCGCCGCCTGCTGGTGTGGCATGCTCTTGACAGCGCTTGATAGCGTGTTTTTTTTTGCGTTGTGTTAACAGGATTTTTTTTTAAATGCAGGAGTAAAAACTCCAGTTATAAAAATACCTGTGTCCGTAGTGTGTGTGTTATAGTATAAAGCAGAAAAATGATTTTTGAAAGTGTTTCGTTTAACAGCTAGACCTTTTTTGGACCTGTGTCCGAATTCTTCGGGGTAAGTATGTTCGCTTGTGATGGAGATGAAACTTTATCAAAGCAAAGCAGAGAGATCCAATTTTACCACACTACAACAAGACAACACTGGGAGAATGTGCTTTTAAAAAAAGTCATTGTGTGTCTGCATGTTCTTGTATATGGACCTCCGTCATTCTCTCTGCCTAATGAGAGACCATGACTACATGTCTGGCATTCCTGTCAGTCAGGTACCTGGTTACCTATAAACACTTTATAAAACCAGGTGTGTGTATGTGTCCACGAGGCAAGGAGGAGGAAGGGGGTTAAAGACTTTAAAAGCTTTCTTTGTTGCAGCACGTCAGCTTCATTGTTTCAATATTGCCCATTGTTCTTTGTCAGAAGCATTTAAACGTTTTTTTTTTTTTTTTTTAGTGGAACATAACCCATTCCTGCACCATTTGAGAAAACATAAATGACACCTCAAATAGTTCTGCTTGGGGAGAGGTGCGATTTAATCTTTTTTAGTGATCAGATAAAATGCTAATTTATGTCTATTTTATTATTTACTTCTTAGCTGACAATAAAAAAAAATAATAATAATAAAACAACATTTAAATTGCGCAATATCTATAGACCACAGTTTGGTTTGATTTAAAAGTAGTTTTGCTTCTATTCATAGGCTGGTTGCTTTAATGTTGTAACCTGTGCATCGCTAATCTGAAACAGTGAGTGGTACACAGATGAGTTTACTGGAGCCTAATTAAGTTAAAGGAGGGTATCTGAGGACGGTGTCCCCGGCGAGAGCTCTCTGAATCTGGGGCGGTGAAAGCAAGGACATGCAGGACTTTTTGCCAGAAAGCATGTTCCAATCTAATTACATACTAAATACTATTACAATCAAGTTAAAATCCTGACAGCCAGGTTAAAGTCTTGAGTATATCTACCTGAGTTCTTCCACCCACACAAATTGACCCCGTACACCCCCCCCCACACACACATACAGAGAGTAAGGCGATCTTTTGTTTGCTGTTGGCCCGTCACTGAGCTCCTGCTGAAGGAATGTCTGTGGAGAACTCCATTGATGAGGTTCACCTCATGTCATTCTTTCCTTCTCCACATTCTGAAAGACTTTCCATATGTTGCAGGCCTCTAGAGCCCCAGTCTATGTGCTGCAATTCCAGACTCTCCTGTTTAGTACCTGACTCTATGGAAATAAAAACCAAGACGTAGTGAAATATGACTAGAGGACAGATGTACAGGTAAAACCCCCCCACCACCATTATACCAATACTAGATCCCAATGGCTCGGTTTCATACTCCAGCTGTGCTAAAACACGCTCTTCGCTCGAGTATGCGTACGTTCCTGGAAAACAGTAGGAAGAATGAGTAAAAGGAGTGGTTCACTTTTGAAAAAACTTTTGCTGATAATTTACTCACCCCCATTTCATCCAAGATGTCCATGTCTTTCTTTCTTCAGTCGAAAAGAAATTAAGGTTTTTGATGAAAACATTCCAGCATTTTTCTCCATATAACGGACTTCAATGGGAACCAAATGGTTCAAGGCCCAAAAGACACTTTCAGTGCAAACTGTTCAAAGGGATTTAAACGATTGCAGACGGTGAATAAGGGTCTTATCTTGCGAAACGATCGGTCATTTAAAAAAATAAAATAAATAAAGTTTAAGTTTTATAAGCTCAAATGCTCGCCTTGCTCTGTTCTGCGATGCGCGTTCGTGACTCTCCAGTTCGAACTAGTTCATCAAAATGAACAAATCTTTTTCCGAGTCAATTTGTTCATTTCGTTTGTTGAATGAACCAAATGACTCGGAAAAAGATTTGTTCATTTTGATGAACGAGTTCAAACAGGAGAGTCACAAACGTGCATCACAGAACAGAGCAAGGCAAGGGTTTGAGCTTATAAAACTTAAACTTTGTTATTTGTTAAAAGTGAACTACTCTAAGTACGAGGGCTTTATCTTTGCAAGCACACATGTGCATATATAAACATGATGATTTGACTACATTTTTCTCTTATTTTTGATCTCCCCATTCATTTTCAGTGGATGGTCATTTTTGAGTTCAGATCAATGAGGGCTATAATCAGACATCAAAACTATTCCTAAGTGAAAGAAAACCACTTGACAAAAAGATTGAATCCAATATTTGGTGATAATATAGCATAATGAGAGATTTATACGAATTTTTCTTGTAGGCCAGTCATTTTTGACCGGGAACACCACAAGGTGGGACAAATAACCCCCAAAAAGTAAAAAAAAAAAAAAAAAAAAAAAAAAAAATGCTACCTCAAATTTTGTAAAGCAGTAATACCATCTGTGAGTAAGTTATTACTTTTTTAGTCTAATGTGATTTTGGGAAAAGGAAAATCCTTTCCAGGTAAAAATGACTCGAACACAAAACATGAATTAAAATACTAAAGGCACTCAAAGCTGTACTATATCATGAATCTGATAAATATGGAAGGGGTTGCAACTTGCAGGCACTCCACTGCATGTTTTTTTTTTTTTAACATCAGCCTGATTCGTAGAATAGCCTCTCGACTTCAGGGAGACACAAAGCTCATAAGACAGTCATAAAGAGCACAGGAAACAAGTTCAGAAAAGATAAGCGCTTCTACTTTATTACACATCAAGGTTCCAGAAGATACCATTCTTCTAAATAGGGGGAGGGGAGGGGTATATACAGCCCTCTCCTTACTGCCAATCATTTCATTCATTTAAAACAAACATCTGTTTACATGTGCATTCATCTGTACATACACTCATACTGTTTACATGTTTCAATTCATTCATTAAAAGGTGACCAATCATCTGCTTGCTTTGAGCATCCATAAAACCAGTCCAATATCCACCAATCAACGGTTTTCTTTTATACAATTCATTATTTACAAAGAACAACAAGTTTGTTTGAGATGTCGAAGGTTTGGCCACATAATGGTGGGAAAAGTGAAGCCCCACACCCTGTATCACAACACGACCGCAGGGTGCTAAATCGACAACTGCAACCTATCGAATGACAGGCAACCTTTAGAACGGCCTATCCGATTACAGGAACGTCACTGTCACAGCCAATCAGAGCTCAGGGAACCATGTGACAAGTTCTCAAAAGTTATTCAATTCAGAGTTGGTGGTGGTGGGGGGGTAAGGGGGAAGTCCCTGATGTGCGTGTTACATCTTTAAGAAAACTATAGAACCGTACCATTCTCTCAAAAAACATTGGATTATACATTTTACTACAAAAGCAAATATTCCCAACAAAAAGAAACTTAAAAACAGTAGACACATTTTTAAAACGTGTGTCGAGATTCTTAAGGAAAACAAAATTTATAATGAAACACCAACCATGAAATGTTAAATACTTTCACTCTCAAAAGAGAACCAAGAACAACATTTCTATATATTCAATAATTTACAGATTGTTCATTGTTTGTTTAATTTCAGCAGCAAACATGACAGACATTTTGAGTTTTTTTTTTTTTTGCTTTGTTAAACCTGGTGCTGTGACTTTACCATCGCCACAGCATATTATTTAGAAGCAAAAATAAAACATACGAAATAAAAGATTCAACTCAGACTGGCTTCCAAGGCTTAACAGCAGGATGCTTAAAAAATAATAATAAAATACTGCTGCCTGTAAAACACACTTGCACTTAAAGGATTAGACGTTTACGGAAACTTTACGACACGTTCTTGTGCAAGTTTTTGTTCAGTTTGACCAAATATTGGGGGAATTTGATCAAAAACATTAGTCACAGCCTAAATAAGCTGTTTATTTAAGGCCTCTTATTCACTTGTGATGTTAGCGTCATATTTAAAAATCTTCGCCCGACATCATTCACAAAATCTCAACTGAATTGTCAGTTGCCAAATCAGGAAGTGATGGAAAATTCAATCTATGGTAACCAAACCCGTGTGTATAAAAATATATATATATATATAAATAGTACCAAAATTACTTTTTTGGGTGGAATTTTGTTTGGAAGCCAACATATACTCTATATGAGATATTCTTCAATTAAATTAGCATGAAAACAAACAAATAAAAAAAAAGGTCTAAAAAAATGTTTTTAGAAAAGAAAAAGAAAAAAAGAATAGTACCAACATTTTTTAGGGTTGAGTTTTGTTTAGAAGCTAATATATATATTCTATATAAGACATACTCTAAGTGATAAAAAAATTTGCATAAAAAAAAAATTGGTTTGGAGAGGCCAGTATAACCTCCAGATAAGTTACATGCTTATTATTACAATTAAACAGGATGTAATGTGAGCAGGTATGAAATGAAACCAGGGTTTGACAGACATCACAGTGTGTGTTTGGCAGCATGAGGTCAGTCATGGCTCACAGTGCTGAAACACAGTGTGTGTGTAAACTCTTTCGTAAAGTCCTGAGGTCAAGTCTGGCTGTTTGAGGTCGTCCATACTGGGTGTATAAAAGTGTCTAATTGAGAGCAGGATTGCAACATGTAATCTCATCTGTAATGGAAATGTCTGGCAGTACTGAAGGAAACGGGTACAACTAACACTGTCGCCAACCCAACACAATATGGCTGCTTTGTAAAGCATCCCTGTACCATCATTTACAAAAATATTATTAATGTAACATTGTTTTAGAGACTACTACCACTACTACTGAAGTAGCATTGCCCTTCACCCCAAAAAGGGGCCATTTTACCATGTCTGATCATGGGAAATCGATTTGTACCGAGTATGTAACAGTTATAACAGTAACGTCTGGTAATGTCAAAAAAGGTGCGCACAGTGAAAGTCCGGTTCTGGGAGATTTATGGTAAGTGGAATCCAGCGTTTGTGAGGTCCGGATGTGTGATGTTATGAGATCTGTTATGTTCATATGGTTTTGGGTGATAATGTAGTCCTGGAAAAATGAGGTTACCGAGTTTATTGAGGTCCAGTTTTCTGAGGTCCGGCTTGTGGTGAGCGGGGAGAGGTTTTGAGTCTTGGTGCTTGAAGAAGCGGAGGCTTTCAACTCTTCATTCTGATGGGGGAAAAAAAAAGGAGAAATGGACATAAGCTAGATGATCAAACAGCCACGGACAACACAAAACAAAACCTAAAGGCTCTATTTACAGTGGAAATACAGTTAATCTGCTTTTTTTTTCCAGAACACATTTGACAGTAGCGCCTTCTCGTTCACAAAACAAGCAAATCCTCCTTTTCTTCATTTATTTCAAAACACTCTCTCTTGGATCCTTCCTTCGGCCTGAGGAGTAACTGACCTTGCCAACGGTTGATAAACAAGCATCATTGTTTCCCTGGAAACGTTCAACACAGATTTGAACAGCCAGAGAGGAGCCAAAAGCTTTATGACATCATCGCTCGGCAGAGAGAGAAAGAGAGAGCGAGGTGGTGCAGACAATCTACTCTCTTTCTGTTTCTCTCTCTTTATCCATTCAAAAAGCGTATGTGAGCCTCATCCGAAAGTGGTGTTCCCGACTCCACTCCTGCCCTGTTCAATCTAATCCACTCAGACACACACAAACAACTACAAGCTGTTTTTATTATATAACACTCACTGACTGTGATTAAAAGATCAGAATGTAGACAGACACACACACTCGTTCACGATCACTTCAGAAAAAAAAATGGTGACGGTATTAAGACGTCACTCATATGTGCCGTTATGCTGAGCTTATGATTGGTCCTGATTTCAGACAAGGGGTTTAACATGCAAAGGCACACTATTGTATTTTCGATAATGTGATGAGAAACTGGATATCTGAGATGATAAAAAAAAAAGACAACAAACTCAATTGTTGTTTTAAACCTGTCTTTCCAATAGGAATCCATGTTGACCAACAGAAAGCTGTTTGGTTTGTGCCTTATATCGCGATTCGCTAGTGAGAATGGATCTCACTAGCGTTTTTGTCTGTGAAATTTCACTGAAATTTGTGAGTTTTTTTGTAGGGCTGTGAAACGATTAATCGTGATTAATCGCATCCAAAATAAAAGTTTGTATTAACATAATATATGTGTGTGTAGTGTGTATAATTATTTTGTATATATAAACACAAACTTTTATTTTGGATGCGATTAATCGCGTTTAATCGTTTCACAGCCCTAGAATGATGAAATCGTTCTAAAATCCTCTGAAGCCATATGATAGCTTTGAGTTAGGAACAGACCAAGTCAGTGATTGGATGATTCGGTTGACAAATTGAACTGATTTGGTTCTTGAATTCCAGTTTTTGTGAACTGAATCAACTGATTCATTCAAACGATCCACCTCAAAAAAAGTATTTGTTCATGAAGCACAAATTGTAAGGACTAATTTGATGAGCCTTTGCATCTTCAAATGCTTTAGTACCTGATCTTTTCAACAGCATAAAACAATGGAAAAGAACGATCAATAAATTGCTTATGTAAAATAACACACACAGACCACATAATATAGACAGTAGCTGTGTTTCCATTACCCTTCTAATTGCGCAATTACGTAAATGATGACGGAATTTTAATTTCGATCTCTTGAAGAAATGAAATAAGGTCAATTTTGACGTTCAAGTTTACAAGTGTTTGTATCCGTGTACGTATTCCTTTACAAACCGCAGCCCTCTTTCCATCCAGCTGACATTACTCTGCCCTGGAATACACAACCGCTCCTGTATCGCAGTGAGCTTATTTGTTTAGACTGGTCTGATTTTGTTCCCAGACCTTTTACCTGAAGCTGCTGTTGCTTCGGACACATGATGTCATACATGAAAGAGCGCTATCCATTACGACATGGAACGACTGACCTAATTTGTATTTACATTCGAAACAAACATACACAGATACATCACTTAACCTCTAAAACCAATTGTGATCCTTTTCCATTACTTATTTCTACTGTACACATAAGGCATGACACTAGGCCCTGTGAAGGAGCTCACAGTTATGATTAGGCCCCAGTTTCAATCTATGGGAAGGACCAGGCTTGAGCTCACAGCTGAAGAGGCAGTGGCTTGAGACAAACCTCAGCTATAAATACAGCTGTGCAGCAGTGGAGCAGAGAGCCGCGGGTCTAATAGTGCAACGCTGAGAACATGAAAGCCCCCTCACATCTCCGCAGCAAACCCGACGTCAAGCGCTTTTATAGTGCGGCCATTTTTAGGGCCTCTTTCCTCTTTACTTAGAAAACCAGAGAGATGGAGAAAATTGCAGAGGGTGAAATTATAAGCTGCCGGACTGTGCAAACACGTAGCGTGGGAAAAAAAAGAAAAAAAAGAAGAAGAGTAGGAGTGCCACTCAAAAAAAATGCCGCTCCCGGAAGTCACAGCATCCCGGAACGAGGGGATGGAGCTACTGGTAGTGTTGTGCATTTCCAGAAATCAGAGGCTAAAATTCAATTCCTGGAATTATTGCACTACAACATGCATACATGCTCAATTAAACCAATGATATATTCTTTATTAGTACTGAAAAGTGCTTTTGAAAACACTACACTATTGTTCAATGGTTTGGGGTCAGGAATTAATCCTTTTAAAAATTATAGGGGTGTAACAATATATCGTGCCACTGCCACAATATATATTGCAATACAAAATGCAACAATACGTATCGTGGATAGTGAAAATACGCATCATAGATCAGACTGATCTCGTGAAATGGCGTACGTCTGACGCCAACTGTATTTCCATTTTTGGCGTGCTATCAACACGCATAATCGCTTTTCAGCGCGTTTATGAATGCCGTTGACTTAAAGTTACATTAAAGTTAACGCTACCGTCCCTAAACCTACCCGTCACTGGGGTTAATGGCATTTATGAGTCTTCTACCCTACCATCCTAGGAAAAAAAATATCGCTCCCCAGATGTAGATCTACATTTTGCTTTGTTTCGCTTGGACATTTAATGGCGTGTACATGTCGTGGAATCACTCGGAAATTTAATGGCGTAGACATACACGTGGATACACGCGGAGAGCTCAAAATGCGTATAGATAACCCTCCACTTGACTTGAAAGTGGCGTGTATGTTTATGCCAAAGTCATGATGTCATGTTGCATAGATAGCGCCCCCCCCCCCCCAAATACAAATTACTGTGTGAGAAAAAAATTCAAGTTTTCAGAGTTTTAGTGTAAATACTACATTGAACAACTATAATGTTGAATATAATGTATAATAATGCAATGGGGGAATATTTGTGGGTCCTTATAATGCCAAATGTCTGATGTTACCAGTAAAATTATTTTATTTTAAATAAAATTATTTTAAATATAGTCAGTAACAGTGTGCAAGCATGTTCATTTACAATAACTCAGGAATTTTAGCTTCAGAATCATGAATATAGTTATTCTGGTGTCATTATTGTCCTAGGGTTACAAGCACCAAGTCCAAGCCTATTCATTTAAACCTACAATGTAATATCAAATTTTAATCAACAGGACATTTTTTGTTAAACTTTTTGTCTTGGAGTATTGCAATAATATCGTATCGTGAGTTGTTGACATGTATCAAATCGTGACATGATGGTATCGTTACACCCCTAAAAAGAACAATCCTTTTAGCAAGGATTCAATGACAGTAAAGACATTTGTAATATTACAAAAGATGTATATTTCAAATAAATGCTATTCTATTAAAGTTCCTATTCATGAAAGAATCCTTGAGAAAAAAATATGTATTTGTTTCCACAGAAATATTAAGCATCTCACGTTTTCATCAATGATAATAAGAAACATTCCTTGAGCAGCAATTCAGCTTATTAGAATAAATTCTGAAGGATCATGTGACACTAAAGATGTGGCTCAAAAGATAGATATCATGACAATTAAATATTTCAGAATTTGGAATAGTAATACAAATTGTGGATACTTAAGAAATTGAAGTACCTCAGCAGGCATGGAAAATACCTTTTAAAAATGGTAAAGTTTGTCATTTCCGTACCATGAACGGCAGAAAACACAATTGATGACTGTTTCCAAACAGGTAGTCCCATAGCAATTGAGCTCATGTTATTATATCCAGCCCAACTGGGTGACTAAACCAAACTGTAATAACATTTGGATCTCACACTTCACCTTCAACATACTTCATCCATACACCCCGCGGGACTATCCTGGTCTCCTTACAATATTGATTGTAATCGACAGCTTGATTTTCCCAGAGGTTATGTGTGCCTCTTCCATCCTTCTACATGCATAAACATATTACATGCATGTGTTCAAATAAGCACATGTAATAGAAGCCAGCATTACGGCGTTCTGAAACGTCACACACACACTCAGTCAGTCAGTACAGTTATCTGCACACTCATACAGCGTCTGCAGAGGAGGGATTTGGAGCTTTACTCTGCAGAGAGCCTTATAAGGCCGCAAGTGAGGGGTGGTCCTCATCTACCATCAGCTCAATGAACTAACGTCATTCAGCCATGTAACACACACACACAGGCATGCTGTGCCAGGACCCGGGAGAGTGGGGACATTTTTAGCCCACTGAAACTTCCACACACATCCATCCCCACGCGCTGCAAGGGATATGGTTACAGATGTGTGCCGCAGTGTGTGCTGACTGACGTCAGTACACAGGTCGTATTCGCTGAGAGAGAACATTCAGCGCTGATGCCAACACACACACACACACACAAATTCAATCATAGACTTCTAAAGTGAGATACGCTTACTTAACAGTCCAACTAACACTCGTACAGACACAAAACAAGGATGTCCATGTGCATCAAACTAGTTGACGAAATGATAATGGTGGTGGCTAGTCAACGTTGAAAATATTAGTAAATGAAATCGTTTGTGCACAATTATGTTTCGCTTTATATTTTTACAAAAGCTACATTCAAATTAGTGTCATGTTAATGTTATTGTTTAAATGAACCTTTTATTGTATTTCTGGAGCAGAAAATAAAATCAAATCATTTTACTTAAGACTTTGAATGTGCATGTTTTCTCAATGTCTATCGCAGCTCAGAGAAATAGCCATTTAAAGGACACACTTGCTTATATTTGAGAAATTCTGTTTATAATAGGCTATTGCGTTTGTAACTA